AACTGGACTCAAAGTACCTGGTTTATTTTTTAACAATATATATTTTTCTGTGTGGTTCTTGAATGAATAAAAGGATAGTTTATTTACTTTGAACATTAAAAGATTCAGCATAAGCAAACTGGCTGGAATCCCTTCAGCATTCGTATTTGTCCTGTCATATTGAGCTTACTCTGTTTTTTCCATTGAAGAAAAATATTCAACAACACACTGGAACTCCCTGTTTTCCACATATCTGTCATTTTTTCCAGAGCTCCACCCTGAAGACCACATACCCTCTATCTGAGTTGACTCAAAGCAGACCACCGACCCCTGACCCGACGCCTATGGATCTGACCGCTTCTTTTTAAAACAGCTGACAGACCTTTTTTACTGTAAATGTGTTTTTTTTTCTTAATCTCCACCCTCTTCAGGCATCTCTTCTTCATCTAAGCCTGATTAATGTCTCATCTCACACCCCCCCAGACCTGAACAATCCCTCTTCTGGGAATGAAGCAGCGATCTCTCCCTGTAATCAAAAGCAAACTGTCTGACACCATGTCTGCTTTAATCTCTTTGACGGGAACACAGGCGTCCCACATTTCCCTCAGATCAGATCGGTGATTCAGTAGCCTCTGCCCAGCCGGTGCACCTGGCTGGAATCTGCCACACACCTGCAAACTGCCAGCACACCGGTGTTTTCTATCTGTGTGCCTCCAGCTCCGGTGAGTCACCGCGATGGGTTTTAATCTCACGGCGGCATTGTGAAAAGTGTGTGAGCAGCGTACTGCGTACTATTACGTCCAGTCAACACAGAGATTAAGAGTGGCGGTAACATGTGAATGAGCTGCCCTTGTGGAAGTCTCCACAGCAGCTCTGAAGTCCTTTTTGGTGGTTTGCTCTCCTACTGAATGAGCTCCTCAGTCAGTTTCTGACCCGGGGATCAGAGGCTTAACGGAGCCTTGGCAGAGGCAGCAAATGCTCGTCCTTTTTTGCTCCTGTCAGGCTGTGATTTAGCTCTTTCTGTGGGTGTTCCAGCCACGGGGGTCAGCCCAGAAGAAGGGTCCTCCAGCTGAACAACAACCCTACAGTTTCAATGAACCAATCAAACCAGCAAAGGCCGGCCCGACTCGCTTGAAAGAGTTGTAACACATGATCAGATGTTAATGAGTGAAACCCGGTTGAGAGTGATTGCGTCAACTAAACCTCCCCACCAAACAAAGTCCCTGTTACCAAACAAGGCATTGTCCTTACAGGAAAGTGATAAAACCCACACAAGAAACAGGTGACTATCACACTAAGAGCATTCCTCACACAGGGAGGGGAAAGTTCCCAGAACTGTAGTTTATTTCATTACCATAGTTTTTAAAGGGATTGACAGTTTAACTGAGATTTGATCTTTGCATCTCCAAACTGGAGTGTTTTTCAATGCTGCTGGTCTATAGAACGAGAACAGCTGTCACATTCCCATTAAATGGTCTTCTTTGGATGACGACATCATCCTTTTAAAAACTCAAACTAATCTGTAATTTAGTGCGCATGAGAACAAACCTATCTGCCCCCTAAGTGAGTGGAGAGTGTGTGTGTGTGTGTTTGTGTGTGTGTGTGTGTTGGCGGGAGGGGAACTAGTCATGGTGGGTGATGCCTATCAGAGCGATGACAGACAAAATTCCTGACACCACGCCAGAGCCTTTGAGATCACTGTTCGGGTGTGTTGCTACCTGCCAAAACCTGAGACAAAAGGTGGGTTAATGACTTTTGGAATGGAGTCCACTCAAAAGGAGTAGGTGGGAACCGAATGATCAGGTCAAATTGGGAAATAAAAAAGTTGTGAAAGCCCAAAAGAGATTTTTGAAAGTCCGATCCTTTAGTTGTGCAACAGAAAGTTTTATCAGCTATATTTCATCATACATTTCATCAATGTCATAATGTGTCATAATTATTCAAATGTAGACTTTAAGTGGGAGAAATTGCATTATATACCCCAGAAATGTGGAAACTGCGAAGTCCTGCTTACAAAAATCAAATCGAGAATTTATTTCCACTTTTGAAATATTTATACGGTTAGTTAGCCACCAACATTGGTATATTTGTTTTTATTTCTGTTTATTTCCTGGAAACACTTGATCAGCTTGTGATTTTGTGTCTTCTGCTGATGTCTGTGAGCACATTCACGTCTGTAGCTTTGTCCATGGCCCTCCAGCCGCTGTGGGTTGGTAATCGGTCCGCGGTTCGTTGTATATTAGCTTACGTTGAAGCTGATCACCGTTTATCTGGAGGATCTGCTTTACACAAGCCTTCATCTCTGTTCCGCTCTGCGAGCTTTGTTTTCTCTTCCAGGCGTGGCACCGTGAGGACGAAACGATCAAAGATACAGGCAGCTACACTCAATGCAGATGTGAAAAAAGGAAATGTTTACATTTGGATAAGGATTTAAGCTTTGTGTATGAACTGACTTTCATATATGGGATGTACACGCCTAATATTGAATTGTTCTTTCAAATAAGTACCTTGTTCCCGCCCGCTCAGAGACAGGCAGGGGAAGTTTCTGCTTTATATTTAACATTTAATTTCCAGCTGCTGTTTATTTGATGAAAATGAGGAGCAGCCTAATGTGGTGCAATGATCGGACGGTAAAAACTGTGACAGAGTCATTCCGTGTGATAGCAGGTGGGTGCAGCTACAAAACGAGCGTGGGAGGAAAGCTATTGATTTCCAAATTTCGCAGTTTTTGGGCTGCTTTAACCTTCAATTCACTGTATTGCAAACATGTTCAACTCCAAAAACACCAAAAACAAAAGATTTTGCTCCTTCTTATGAGCCAAGGAGTTAAAAGTGGGCCTGTGGAATGTGGCTGTGTTAAAAAGCATGGGGGGGGGGGGCTCTGAAAACTGTTTACCGGAGTAGAAAGTCATTTTTCCTGCTGCATCTACAAAGCAGCCTGTGGAATTGTTCTTTTGTTTGACCACATCCTTTATGGGTCGGGGCAATCAGACGCACATCCGGCTACACCGGACAGATAACAAACAGAGCACCACGCAACATCTGGAACGCTATGAGCACTTCAACGACACGTCTGATTCAATTTGACCAACCAGTTTCAACATTGCTGGAAAAATCTTTTGATCACATATTTTTGAGCTATTTTCCACTTTTTTTTAAACATGAGCATAAACCAGGACAGAAACTATCTGAGACCTGGGTCTGGCTCTCAGCAGATTACCAGCACTCAGAGGGGATGCTTGATAGATTGTGAACGTCATGTTGCTGAAGGTAAAACAGTCAAAAAGACGACCGCGTCCTGATGATTCTTGTCCTAAATCGTTTCTGGGGGAGTGTCTTTTTTTCCAGGTGTGACGAGCTGATCTCACTCGCAGTGACTAGACGACGATGTAGTCACTTTAGAAACATTTCACCAAAAGAACAGACATTTACGAGGGCGGAGAGCTGACTGCAATTCGTCGAATGTGGGAGTATATCCACTCATGTTCATGTTTTGCAGCAAGGTTTCACAGGAAAAGCAGAAAATGTCCCAGAATCAACTGCTAATACGCAGACACTCCATTTCTTTCCTTTATTCTCACACGGCGTGACTCCCAAAGAAATGAGCGACATTGTGTTTGTGTGTCCATCACATTTTCCGTGTGTAGCCTCGGTGGCAGGACTCAAAAGCCTGTGACAAAGAAATTCCTGTCCATAATCAGGCGGTTTTCAAAGCCTGACCTTAAATGGCCTTCACCCAAATACATTTCAGTTATTATCCTGGTATGTCCACTCTGGATCGCTCTGATCCACAGATACTGCCCCAGACCGCAGTTTGTTAAATATGGAGCTCCTTGTTAACAAGACTCAAATCCCTGCTGAAAACTGCTCTAACTCACCTTTTTTCTTCTTGTTAAACATGTAACATAATTAAGAGCAATGCAATGTAAATAAAACCCTGTTTTTGCACTATTAATCTTAACGTATATTCTGTGAGAACAAGAGAAATGTGTAAAACAGAAACTGAAGGCATTTAGTTCACCTGAAGATGTGTAGCTCTGGGAGATAAAATTATTAAATAGGACTTGTGCTTTTCGGACAGAAGCAAGAGGATTGAGTGGACGGGTGAAGTCCTGTCAAATACCAAAGAACAAAGCTTTTAAACAAAACCACCTTGTTCTCAGAGTTATCTGACTGACCTGAAGTGTGACCACCAGCGCCGGCGCCTGCCTCTGTGGCGCTGTAGTGATGTCTGATGCCCCATAATGAAGCCTTCATGTATCATTGGTTGTAAGTGATTTATGTGTTGACATTAAAGGACCCACGGGCATCGGCGTTATCGTGGCCACGTCCGCCTCTGCCGTGGGGACAAAGAAGGGGCTGAAATCTCAGTTTTATTACTCACACAGAAACAGAACAGATAGTAAAATTTGTTTAACTGCTCATCCACACAGGCCGGTTCGGTTCTACTCTCATGTAATGAACTGGTCGAACGGGATTGGATGGTCTAGCCCCACCTTTTCCAGTTAAACGTGGGACACTGATGAGCTGGGAAGAGGGCAAAACTCCAGTTAAATCCCCCCCAACTCCAGAAACCACCAAAGTCTGACTTATTTTACTCATAAAATAGCTTATTAAAATCATTTAAGTAACATCTAAAGCAAAGGGGAGACCGTGTTCCTCTAAATGTGTACGAGAAATGTAATCTGGAGGTTAACTTTTCCAGGACATTTGGGCTGAAAACCTTCTCTCACAATAACGCATGATTTCATATGACGCAAACATTCTAAGAGAACATACACTGAAAGGGGATTAAGGAGTTTTCATCTCTACTGTAAAGTTTAGGTATTTTTAATGATGATTTTTGTCTCATAAATAAAGCTTTAAGTCCAGACTTTTAAGTGCCCCAGCTCAGGAGTTGAGCAGGACAAAGGCATGCTTTGAGCCATTCTGCGGTGAGCGCTGGAAATAGGGAGGGCGCGGGGGAGTGGTCTGGGCGGATCTTTGGGCCCACAGGCTCTATATATTTCCAAGGCTTCCCCTCTCCTTCTGCCTAGTGTCTGTGAGCTCCAATTTCTGTCAGCCCAGCCTGTGTCTCTCTCTCTTACTCACAGTCTGTCTCACTGAGTCTCACCCTCTCCAGCAGCCATGAAAACTTCCAGGCAAACCACCTACTCTGTGCGGTCCTCCACCAGCAGCAGCAGGCCCGCTGCTGCCGTTTCCCTCACCCGCAGCTCTGCTCCTGTCTACAGGGCCTCCAGCATTCACGGCGGGGCCGGCGGCTCCCGCATCAGCGTGTCCTCTGGATTCAGGGGCTCCCTGGGGGCCGGGATGGGGGTGGGCTCCGGGGCGGGGGGCTTCTCCAGCGGCGTCCAGGTGAGCGGGAACAGCGCCGACATCATGGGCAACGAGAAGTTTGCCATGCAGAACCTGAACGACCGCCTGGCCAACTACCTGGAGACGGTGAGGAACCTGGAGCAGGCCAACCACAAGCTGGAGATCAAGATCAAGGAGGCCCTGGAGAAGAGCGGCCCCGACTTTAAAGACTACAGCAAGTACCAGGCCGTTGTGGACGACCTGAGGAGGAAGGTGAGGATGGAGGGCAGACGTGGGCTTCATTCATGTTTGAGCTAAAGCATGTTGGGGGGTTCAATCATTTGAAGAATTCTAGTGAAAGTTTGTTTAAAGAGAAAAAGATCAAGACATTGTAAGAGAAAAGTATCATGAATACCTAAAGCTGTTTTACTCCATTTACTGTTAGGAATATACATTATGTCTGTATATTTCTGACCGTAAGGGGGGGGGGGGGGGGGTACGGGGCAAAGGGCCCGGGGGTCTTGTGGGTGGGGGGGGTTGAGGGCTGAACCGGAAACAGTATGGAGCAGGAATGTTGGAGCATAAGGGTTCAGAAAGACAGGAAACCTGAGAGAAACAAGAGTCCAGAGACTATTTAAGATAAACTTCCAGACATATTCATCACACTTTTAACTTCCCCGCTGTTTGGGGGGGGGGTACAAGACCAAATAGACAATGTTATCATTACAAGTCTGTAAATACTTACAGACAGAAGAAGTATGAGAACTTTGTGGCCTGCATTTGATCCTAAGCTGGATGTCAGATTCAGGACTTGAAAACAGAGTCTACATTACACAGTCAGTAAATCAGTAACCAGGGGCTTTTGTCCCACTGTGAGGGCAGTCAGTGAGAGTGAAATGGCCACTCAGAAAAACCTGTAAAGAACCACATTTGTGTCAACTGTAATCATTCAGGAGTCGTCTCCTAATCTTTCACCTTGTGAAGCAAGTAGCAAAACAGAGGAATCAAGGTCAGAAACAAGATTTTTTTCACACAACTGAAGCAGCCAAACTGGAGGCATAAAAAACAAGACCAAAACAGTTCTGAACTCATTTCCCATAAATACTGTTTTAAAAACATTACATGAGAGCAAATTCTCTTTTAATTTGGAATTTGTTTATTCTTCGAACAGCCGAAGAGGACTTTGGTTTATCCAAACAGCCCGGGGTCAAAAAGTTTCATTTTTCATATGGCCTGACACAGAAAATCCCTCCCGTGGCACCCTCTGCCTCAGCCCCATCTGAGAAAACACAGTCTCTCACGCAAACAAAAAAAACAGAGCAGCCTGCATATCGGCTGTTCATGCAAACAAGCAAACCTCCTCCACCCCCCCACACAAAAACCCAGTCAACGCCCTCATCATGTAAATCACCTGCTGACAGGATGGATCCAGCTGCCTGGCAGCCGCTCGCCAGCTCCTGGACTTTGCCACCTGGATGTCTCCCCTACCTTCCATTTCAGGCCTTATCCAAACCTACCATTGAGGCTTAAGCAAACACTTCTCGCACCGTCCGCAGATAAAGATGTAGGACACAGTTATAAAAACACAAGAGGCCGGTTAAAAGATTTTCTGACTTCTGAACAAAGAGCATCAACTCAAAATATTTTTAGAAAGGGTTGTAGAACCATATTTAGCCCGAGCTGAATGGCTAGCTGTTACTGTTGGCACATAAGTTGCTGTTCTTCCTCTGACTCTGCTCATGCAAACTACTCCAAATCTCAAACCTGAGTCACTTTAGCTTCTGTAAAGTATCACTGATCGCTGAATCTTTAGCTTGCTATCTAACTGTTCCTCTTTTAAACCCGTTCCAGGTGTTTGATTCCACCCTCGACAATGCCCGCCTGGTCCTCAACATCGACAACGCTCGGCTGGCGGCCGATGACTTCAGAGTGAAGTAAGACCTGCCTGCTCCTACTGAGACCATTAAACGCCAAGTCAGACAGCTGCACGCACACCCTGTTTTACAACTGAGAGGGTTTTGGGGGGAATACGTCATGTCGGTGATGCAAGCAAACAGTCATGAGTGGTCGCCCTTTAGAGCTGTTTGAGACACCGGAGATGTGTCATAAACCAAATCTCCCGGCAAACACAGCTGGCTCTAGTATTTTACATTAGGCTTACACTAAACCAATAAGTTACGCTTAAAGCTGGTTGGGTGACAGTACAACAAAAACATACAGCATTTTAGACCAGCCAACAGCCGTGTCAGACTTTCAAAAACGACCTCACTGTTCTGCTCAGGTATGAGTCCGAGCTCGCCATTCGCCAGTCCGTGGAGGCCGACATCGTCGGGCTGAGGAAACTCATCGACGACACCAACCTGAGCCGCATGAATCTGGAGAGCGAGATCGAAACCCTGAAGGAGGAGCTCATCCACCTCAAGAAGAACCACGAAAATGTGAGTTGGACGGCGCTGAAGTCCAAACTTTGGCTCTTACAGTGTTCATTTAGGGCCGCAGCCAATGCAAGAGATGGAAACACTCAAGAAACACACTTTTCAAGCAGCTGTGAGGCCTAAATTAAGCAAAGGTCCACACCCTTAAAGGAACATAACAAATATGTGCACACTGGCTCATCCCAGTAAACCCGGCCGCTGTGTGCTTAAGTTGTTGATCGCTGGGCGTGAGAAAACTTCATTTGTAAATCGCCTAAACAGAGGGAAAAAAATAGAAAAAATCTAAACTATCTACATGTGAATTCTGTGGGAAGCCTCGTCGTAAAACTGATGACTGTCCAAACGTGGCAACAGAGGAAGCCCCAAAAAACCGAGATGAGCCAAAACCCAAGCGTTTGTTTACTGAGGGGGATGTTAAATGAACTGCTCCACAGCTTTAGGGCTCTCCCCTGTATTTAAACCTGACCACGCTGTGTGATCATGGTTGGAGGAGCCAGAGAGTCACAGCTGGGTCACAGTTCAGCAGGAGTAGCATTTGATGGCAAACCGAACGCTTCAATGAGACTGGAAAATTCAGTTTTTACCTATCTTGGCTTTTTGTGTTTTTTTTGTAGGAAGTCATGGAGCTTCGTAACCAGATTGCCCAGTCCGGAGTCCACGTGGACGTTGACGCTCCTAAGGGTCAGGATCTGGCTCAGATCATGGCAGAAATTAGGGCCAAGTACGAAAAGATGGCGCTGAAGAACCAGGAGGAACTCAAAGCATGGCACGAGTCTCAGGTGGGTGATCCAAACTGTCCTCAGCAGACCTGGAGGGTTTTGTGAGTAGCCTCAGGCAGATTTAATCATCTGCTTGCTCTTTTTTTTAAACATTTTTAGATAACAGAAGTCCAGACCCAGGTGAGCCAAAACACAGAGGCCCTGAAGGGTGCACACACAGAGGTGAACGACCTCCGCAGACAACTGCAAACCCTCGAGATCGAACTGGAGTCCCAGAAGAGCCTGGTGAGAATCGCGCCGTCAGCACATAGCTCATTTACCTCAGCACAAGCCTCCCTGCGCTGCCCGACTCAGCGCTCTCACTTCAAGACGCCGGCTTTGTTGGGCTTCACACTCGGATGACCCGCCGCTATGGGGCCGTCGGTGCGGAGCCGGGCTCGCCAGAGAAATGTAACCCCCTTTTTCACACCCTGTCGCTCACAGAAAGCCTCCATGGAGGGATCGCTGAGGGACACCGAGCTGCGGTACAACATGGAGATCGAGTCGCTCAACTCCATCCTCATGGGTCTGGAGGCGGAGCTCACACAGCTGCGTAACAACATCCAGCTGCAGACACAGGACTACGAGGCCCTCCTCAACACCAAGATGAAGCTGGAGGCCGAGATCGCCACATACAGACGGCTCCTGGACGGGGAAGATTTCAAGTGAGTGCGAGCCTCTTAAGCACTCCGCTGTCGCTCTATTTGGAAAGGAGAATAACTGGATGTTGGTGCTCCTTTCTTTTTAGGCTCCAGGACGCTCTGGAGGTGGAGAAGACGGTGAAGACCAAAGTGATGACAGTCACACAGACGCTGGTGGATGGCAAAGTGGTCTCCTCCAGCACAGAGACCAAGCAGCTTTAAGCCCCAGAAGCATCGGACGGACTCCATGACTTTATCAGACCGGTCTCCCTCTTCAGTAACACCGCACTAACCATAAGACAGATGTTTCCCCTGTTAGTCAGACTTCCTGGGTTCCAGCTGTTCCACAGGCAATTGAAAAACTAGATCAAAGGGAAACAAACGCGTATTTTATTTATTTCATCGAGGTTTATTTATGCCAGTGCGTGCTGACCTACCTACATGTGCAAATGTTCAGAATTGGAGGAGTGTAAGCTTTCCTTTTTCAGCCAAACTAATTGAGTGTTTCAACAAAAACAAGTCTAATTTACTGCAATTTATCGAAGACAGTTATATGTATCATTCCTCGTTGTTTGTTTCCCTTTTGTCCAGTCGAGTCTGTCTGTTGTGCTGCGACGACTGTTTCAATAAAGTCCATTTCAGAAACTCTGCTGGTGTCTTGTTTCAATGCAAATACATTGCTGCTGTGATGAAACACAAAATAAGGAGGCCTCCCTGAGTTTTTATCCTTCATTCTGTTAGTGACTGACTTGCTGGCTACTTTTCCACTTTGCCTTCATAGAGCAGGATTAGGAACTAAAATAGACCGGTAATATGCAGTAAAAGCAGCAAACAAACAATTCCAGGAAGGGCAGTTTCCACTTTGATCGCTCAGTGGGACAAATGCGTCTTTTCTTTTATGATAGTCATCCAAAGATTAATATGCTCAAGTATTCATACCTTTTTTAGTAGTGTTTGGACCTCTGATAAGCCCTATCAACAACTACTTTTAAGCTTCCTGGATTTGTTTCTCAATGGCAGCTTGACGTGCCCCAGCCAAAAGGAGCTCTTACACTTTCGCTTTTAGCACTATTCTGTATTTTAGGAGCCAGGTGATTACAGGAAAAGTCCCCAATACTGAAAAACAGCAATAACTCTCTGTTTAAGGACAGTCTGCTGCAACAGAAAACAAAACATAGCAGGATCCATACACAGCTGCTCGGTCGCACAGCTGGACTCAGCAAGCCCTCTTTTGAGGATTATTTTCAGCTTCATATTTTGCACAGAAGACAGTTTCTGCGGCATCAGCCCAAACAAAATAAACCTCATAAAGAGTTCCAAGCCTTATTCTACAACCTGCTGTTTTTATGGAGTTGCCATTGATACGATGTGTTGACCACAAAAACACCCTTTGGCCTCTGACGGATGGATTACTAGTGAGGACCAAAGTCTAAGCATAGGGGATAAAGGTAAAAATGTAATATAGATAGGAGAGGTGTGGCAGGACAGAGAATTGGTATATAAGGCTCAAACTCGTCTTTTGCCCTTCACTCTCAGCTGCCAAACTCTGCTCCAGTTTGTCCCGTTTCCTCCTCTGATCGACCAGCAGATTTGATACACAAATGGAGCCCCTGATTAGACGCCAAAGCTCTCAAACTCTTGGTTTCTCTGGTTACTCTGGAGTTGTTGGCCGACCTCGGCATAGGGAAAGCGCCTATGCCCACAGTGTCAGCGGAGGGGCGGGCGGCCACGGGACCAGGATCTCCACCGTTACCTATGGAACCAGGGTTGGCAGTGGGTTTGGGGGTAGTTATGAACACCAAACCTCTGGGACCCTGGCCATCGGGAATGAGAAGATCGCCATGCAGCACCTGAATGACCGCCTGGCGAGCTACCTGGAGACCGTGAGGAATCTAGAGAAGGCCAACCATAAGCTTGAGATCAAGATCAGAGAGGTCATCGAGAAGAAAGGACCTTTAGAAGGGAAGGACCATAGCAAGTACTTTGCCATCATCACGGAGCTGAGGGGCAAGGTGAGCCTTCAAAGTACCTAAAAACTTAAGTCCATTGACTAGAAACGCATAAAACGGTTTTGATCATGAGTGCGGGCGTTGTAAAGATAATGCTGCCCTCCATAACCCTAACCTTCAGCACAGAAAAGTGCTTACATCTGCAACCCGATGCTAATCACCGTTATCTTTACAACCATCCGCCTGTGTTAGCACCATGACACTGATAACTTGTCATAGTCAGGCTTTCCTTTCACCTGAATAGCACATCAAATCTGTTGCGGCATCAGAATTAGTGTCAGGGATAAAAAAAACAACAACACAATTATCATTATGTTTCTTTCAGATCGCCGAAATGACCAAGGGCAACGCCCACCTTGCAATTTCTCTTGACAATGCACGTCTAGCTGCAGATGACTTTAAACTCAAGTGAGTATTTAGTTTCAGAAGCTAAACTGAACAAGCTCTTCCATCGTATGAGCGTAAATCTCATGTATCTCATTGTGTCGACAGACTGGAATATGAGATCTCCATGAGGCAGGCGGTGGAGGCGGATGTTGCCAGACTGAGGAAGCTTCTGGATGACACCAACATTATCCGCATGCACCTGGAGGGCGACATTGAGTCTCTGAGGGAAGAGTTGATCCATCTGACGAAGACCCACAAGGAGGCGAGTTTATCAGTGGTGATCACCACAACGCCTGCCAGTGCAGCACCATCAACCACTTTGTTCCTTAAGCTCTTTGCTCAGGAAAACCTCACTAACCTTTATCAGGAAATCCCTCCCTGACTTTTTCCTCCTCAACAGGATGTTGCAGAGCTGATGGCTCAGATTGCTCATGTCGGCGTCCAAGTGGATGTTGATGCTCCTAAGGGCCAAGACCTGGCCAAGATCATGGAGGAAATGAGGGCTAAGTATGAGAGGATTGCTCTGAAGAACCAGGAGGAACTCAAAACATGGCATGAAACTCAGGTGCGACAGAATTTCCACATTAAGGAAAAGTATGACAGATTTGGGGGTTTCTTTTACCATTCATGAGCATTATCTGTACCTAATTTCCTATTCAGATCACAGAGGTGCAGGTTCAGGTAACTGAGAGCTCAACAGCTCTGAAGGAGGCCACAACTCTGATATCTGAAACACGCAGGAAGCATCAGGGACTGGACATTGAGCTTCAGTCCCTACTCAGTATGGTAAGAATCTTAATGTCATTCTTAGTTTTATCACCATGGGTCGGGGTAATCAAAAGTCAGTTAAGCTCATCGTAAAAAGTAACACACCTTTTTAAATTGTTAGGTTTCAAAGGGCCACTTGACACTTCCCTGTTCTTTAGTGGAGTTGATGGCTTGTGTGCTGTTAAATGTCTGCTGTATAAAGTTTTGTAATCAACATCACCATACCACACATTTCTTACATATTTCAGAACACCACAAACAAAGACCGAAGCAGGGCAGCTTGCGATCCTAACAAAACAGGAACTAAAATCAGGCATATTTGCAATATATCCCCTTTATTTGGAATCTTAATTTCTTCCAAGCCTTGACTACCAAACTTACCAGCACCACAAAAGTCCACCAGCTCACACTTACCTGGTCAGCTTATATGCATTGTTCAGATTCAAAATATTTGATTAAATAACTCTGTGGATCATTTACTTTAAGCAAATAGCACAACCACAGAGATTCTTTAGGCCAATGTGTTTTGATAAAGACCCTTCAACACATTAAATTCAACACAAAGAGAAGCACTAACAGACTTTTGGGGAGAAAATGCTGATCGTTACACATATCCACCCATCTCATCTGTTTAGTGCAACTATTAAACAATGTCATGTATTTGTTTAGTCAAATTACCGTTGTCGGTTTTGATGTGATGACCCAAGGTTTGGGAGTAGGTAGGACAGACTAACTCTGGACGGATACTTAGGTTTGAGAGGCCCCAGGCTGCTGCCTGATGTGGCCTAGCCTAAATTATGTTCTCCTTCACCTCAACAGAAAGCAGCCCTGGAGGCCTCCCTCCGCGACATTGAAATGCGTTACAACATGGAGGTTGAGAAGTACAACATGATCATCCTGAGGCTGCAGGAGGAGCTAACTCAGATCCGCACCGACATTGGGCAAAACACCAGAGAGTACGAGAACCTGCTGAACATCAAGGTGAAACTGGAGGCCGAGATCGCCGAGTACAGGAGGCTGCTGGAGGGAGGCGCAGATTTAATGTGAGTATGGATCTTTTTAAAAATGTCATGACACAAGAGCAGGTGGAAGCTTAGTAGGTAGGTGGTTATAATAGATTTGCTCATACCAGGGGAGCTTTTTGCATATTGAATTCAAATGAGATCCATGCAAATCTTTATCGGCTTTGACTTGGAAAATAAAACTGACTCATCTGTGCCAAAAACAAAGCATTCCAATGGTTGACTATCAGGAGGTGAGGAGTTAGTAACTCATAGTTACAAAATGTCTCCGATTCCTCAGTACTGACACAAATCATCTTACTCCAGAGAGCATACAGTGGGTACCATTGTTCCTACTTTTTTTTGTCTTTTTTCCCAGGCTGGAGGATGCCATTGACAGCAAAAAAGTCCAGACCAAAGTTGTGACAGTCACTCAGACTCTGGTGGATGGCAAAGTGGTGTCCGAGAGCAAGAACGTTAAATCCAGCGAAAATATTGTAACGAGCTAAAAAACATCAATCTAAGAAAAACAAGCTGTGGACAAACAATAAAAAGAGCAAAACAAGAACTCATGCTTATTTCTGTTATTCTGGCCGTATATAAAACATTCATCTGAATACGCATATTTACAACAATCCTCTGTTTCTAATGACTTTTTATTCAGGCTAAATCAATTTAACAGCTTAATGGGGAGACATGCAGTACCTGGATTAACAAAGCTGCACAAGATTTAGATAACTGATGCAACTCGTCATCTGTTCCACAGATATAAATTAGAGTGGAGCTATTAGTTCATTCAGCCTAAAAGAAACACTCAAAAATAAATAAAAAGTGTCACTCTACATCTCTGGGGGATGTTTTCAATATATAAAAAATGTTTTCAAAGTACAAAGCACAAAGTTTGTTTTTTTTGGCAGGAGCAGCATTGTTTCTGTATTTCCAAAACTGGAACAAAAACATATGTAAGGAAAGCACTGGAATAGTCTAACAGAGAGGAATCTTTAGTACCGTGACCGGCATGTTTGAGCCAAGCCTCTGATGCTAGAGGAAAGGTGGTAATCTTCTTTATCAGATAGAGAAACGTTTAAAAAAAACATGTTGCATCCTTTCTTTTTGGCATTAGTGGTCTCCATTTGAAAGTAATTTTGAGCCAGAACTCAAACCTTAAGCTGGTTTTGAGGAGCATGTTCCCCCTGTACACATTTTCAATCTACCCAGAAAAAATCAGTCACCAGAGACAGAAATAAAAGTTAAAGAAAGTTAGAAAAGCCTATTTGACCACAACATCCACTAACAAAGACCTCGTCTTTGTTATGGGCAAAGTGATAGCTGCCTGGCCTCCGGCCATCACCCTCCCACACATCCAAGTCTGCAGGAAATTCTTTTGAGCCTCTGAGAAATTCACATTCTGACCTGCAGCTCCTCAGTCGTGTCCTGTTATAGGCAGAGGGCTGTACTTCCCATGCCATGTCCACACAGGCCGCTGAGGCCCTTTTCTGCTTTCAGTTTATTTATGTTGACATTAGTCATCCTGATTCCTGTGAACTGCTCCACACAAACGGACCCTTTGGGTCTAATTTAAAGGGCTGCATAGCTTTTGGGTTAGTGGGGTGCTTAGATGCTGACAGGGACGCGAGAGGCAGCACATTTTGGTGAGTGGTTGGGAATAATTTTGGAGTCAGCGGGTGATTACACCCTTTTACGATAACAAAGTCACCTTTTATCTTGCTGCCAGCCTCGCATCCAGGCCGCTTTCACGACTACGGCGGACGAAAAGTGAGAGTTTCCTAATTATTTCCAGTTCCCAGCTCCCTGAAACTGTTGTGTGGCAGCATGGGCGCTGTGAGAGCTTTATTGTGCCAATTCCGAGGACTGTCAGGCATAAGATCGTAAAGCTGCCTGTACGTGAGGGTCTGATTGTGGAGTTGGGGGGGGTCTGTCATTCCAGGCAGCCATATGCTTCACATTACACCCCCAATGAAAGCTGCTGAGCAGCCAAACTGGAATTCAGGATTTTCTGAAAAGTGGAAGGAAAGAAGAGAGGCTGGGATTTATAAAGGGAGGGGGAGAAAACAAAGGGCAGATGTGCATATCTCTGTGGCATTCCTCAGAGGGCCCCAACAGGAGCTGGCAGGGCAAACCTCCCCCTGCTTTGTCCTGTAACTCTGTAAAAACAGCCAAGAAAAGCTCCCGACTTTGAGCTAATTACGAGATCATCTCGTGTGTTTGAACACAGCACCAATAAATACTGTAAGTGTAAGGATTTCAGCAAGTCTGCAAAGTTCCAACTCCAAGGATTATTAGACAGGAGGAACCTCTAGACTATAGAGCCATTTTGCATTTAAGCTTTTATGAAGCAAACGTTTGGCAGGTTAAACACAGGACCAGCAACATGCCATTAAAAACTAACATTGAACATTGAACAAACTGAAAATAGAACAATAAAAAAGGACAAAGTGAAGAAATGGCATAAGACTAATAGATACGACAAAAGCTGAAGCAGCAAAGGTGGCAAATGGATCACAGAAAGCATCAGTAAGCTACTTATAAGTCATTGGAAAACTTTTACACACGAGTGCAAACAAAGTCACAGATTAGATTTGAGGACTTCCATGGATTAGGAGAGTAAGGCTGCTTTCAGACCAGAAAAGGTCTGGTTTCCTCTTTTGCTGCATTTTAAAAAGCAGCCCAAACCGCCTGGATAACGTCATGAAACTATAACCCTGACCAGGATGGAAAAAAGCCTGAAGAAGAGGAAAACATGGCCGAAAACTGAAGCCCAACCCCATCAGCCGGCTCACTCACAGCAAAAGCAAATAAAGAGGAAGCATGACTTTGCATTTTTCGGACACTTTTGGTGTTCAAACTTTACAACTTCTTCACAAGAAGCACAGAAAAAGACAAAAAGAAGGTGGGGAGAGAGCCCACGATGTGCTGCTGTGGGTACAGACACCGGGTGAGGTGTGCCACATCACGTCCTCCCTTCGCTTTGCTTGAGAGTCCGTTCACATCGTCAGAGAACCGAGTTTCGAGGGTTCAAGAACCCTGAGCTCAGAGGAGCGTTGACATCTGCCTAAATGACTATGTGAGGGAAAGGACCCCGCTCTGCTTTGTGTTCGTGGCCATTTTGTCCCACCGCAAATGAAAGATGAGATGTGGTTCTTCTTCCACATGCGTTCCCAGTCTGCTCGGGATACTTCATCATTTAGTCATTTTAACCATTTTTGTTTCATACATTAGAAAAGCCTTTCATCTCTGTCCAAAGCCCTCTACGTTTTAATTCTTTTCCATGATCAGAAGTGCAAATTTTCTGGCCATTAAATACCATATTTTCATTGTAAACATTTTGGCAGAGTCTTGGCTATATATTCTGCCTTATTTTCTTTATGGAAGTTAAAGAGACATGTAATGAATCGAATTTCAACCTAATTTGTTGCATTTCTGTGGTATTTGCTGTGGAAAATGACAGATCAGTCTGCAGGTCAAGAACAATTTTTTTTTCATTTTAGCCTGAGTTCACCGGGGGTTAAAGTACCCTCTTGACAGAGTTTTATAACCCTTTAAATGGTTTCCACTGACTTTTCCAGCCAACAAGTCAGCTGAAACAGCCCGTAAAGCTTTACAAAGTCTTTGAACTACAGGCTCATTTACAATATAAATTTATATCATTTGTTTAAGAAATGCAAAGTAGCCCTTAGTTTCCCCTTTACCCAATGACGTAGTAGTGACATGATACCCGTCTGATTAAGTGCTGTTTCTCTATTACTGTTCATAAAACAATAAAAATAAGCCCAGAAGGCTTTTTTGGTGTATTCATGACACGTCACTGCAGAGTACCTGAAAGAGTTCTGAGTCGACTCTTTAAATAAGATTAAAAGTAAATATATAACTAACATAGAGCTGAGATAAAGCATTTCCCACAGCAGCGGAGATAAGGAAGCCCCAAATAAAAGTGACTCAAGCTGATAATCGGTCCTGGTTGTGGGAGTCTCACATCGATAAGTGCCAAAGATGAGCGGCTCATGTCTTTGTTGCACTCCAGTTGCATCATCCTCCAAAATGTGAAGTGGTCCTGAACTCTCCATCAGATCTACTCCTTTGAACTGAAGCTAATAAAAACAAGGCCTGTAAAGAGCTGTCAGCATCTATCACAAGTTCAAGTAAACTCCCCATTCAGAATTTTCTCCGTGCTGCTCCTTGCGTAATAAAGCAGTTTGACGGAGATAAGAAATGAATCACCTCTGCCCCACTAAAAGCAACAGGCTCTCCGTGGCTCCTTCTGCCCCGCACATCTGGAGGGCGTGTCCAGTGAGAGTCTCCAGGAAAGACGAGGGAGAAAAAAAAAGCATTGATCAAAGTAGATTTGCTGTAATGGGCAGGATAAACAACGCGGAGGGCCAGACCGTCCACAGGAAGTGCTGCCAATCAGAGCCTGCCATCTAAATCAAAGCAGAAAAAAAAGGGGGCTTTTGGGCCTCAGATAGATTAGTAAACGCTTGTTGCTGACTTCAGAAATTTCTACATTTTCTACTCTCTGAAATGGGATCAAATGCAGTATGGGAGGTGACAGTAGGCTGAGAGTTCACGAAAGGGAGGTGAGAATAAAAGTGAAAATGAGTGACGGATGAAAAGAGGGGAAAAACAGGAGTGTGGGAGAGCAGGAGGAGGAGGAGGAGGAGCAGAGGGCAGGTTAAGTAAGAACAGAACTGGGCAGCCGGCCACCATCCAGCCACTGTTTGCTCTCCCAACTTTCATTTTCCAGCCCCGCTGCGTGGGGAGGGAGCTGGAAACCCGAGGCTTCGCCTCCCAAACTTAACGGCTGAGTTGGGTGACTCATTCGTCTGGTTTCCATGGAAACTGACCAAAAGAACTTTGTGACCAGAACGCTGCGAGCCGGTAGACCCAACGGAGGAGGATGATTGCAGCCTGTGTCTGCTAAATATACAGCAGCGATGCTCTCCGCCTCACACACACTCACCAACGCAACTTAAAGAGCACCCAGAGTCCGTTGTGTGTCCTTTCGCACACTTTAATCCAGCTATCTGTGGCGGTTTCATTAACCTTCGCATTCTTTGGATGAGTAACTAGCTCACATTCCTGAGCTGTGAGTAAATCATTAAAGCCCACAGGGAGGCCGTGCTGTTCAAAGATTATATCTAAGGATTTCTTTCTTAAAAACCCCATAAGTAAGTTTTCATGATACAAAAACTTTATCAAAGGGTTTGGAAAAAGTTAAGTTAGTTCCCAAAAGCATTGGGGAACTTTTTTAAAAAGTTACAACTGGTTTCAAATGTATGAACAACGGCTTTGGGTGAGAATTTGATGTAAAGCAACGTCTTAAACTTTTAGCTGGAAATTTGAAGCTCCTCAACCCGTCTGTGTAATTGACCATCCTGTTTCCTCAACACAGTTTAATCATCGGCTGACTAAGAATCCCCTCTGACGATTGCCAAGAGATGCTGTATGATTACAAACAACCTTAAAGTGAAGCAAAGGGGAATTTTACCACCAAAAAACAGGAAATCATCTACTTTTTGTGGCCAATGTCAGCATGTTAATACTTCTCCT